TCGCTTCTCCTGCTGTCGGGGTAATCGAATTGATGATTGCATCTTCATTGCTGATTTAATCACACTTCCCTATAAGCTCCTCCATTTAGTTCACTTCATGAATATCTCTTTTGGGTTTCCGTTCATTGTTTAGGAGAATCCTTAACAAACAATATGGTTTGAGCCATCATGAATCCACCATTTCTTTGGAATTGCAATACTTGTGCACTATTCTTGATTCCACAATCATTACGTAGGTGCTTATTAGCATTAAAAGTAGTTCGGACTGGAAAAATAAATATAAATGATCATTTTGTTGGGGAAGTTTCGGTATCACCTTTCGCTGCAAAATGGTAGTTTTGAACTACTTAAGTCTTCTTTCCTATATGCTCAGACCTGCAACCAGACAACTCTTGAGGTGTACGATTCTCCTTGGAATGATTTTCTATTAGTAACTAATAGGTAAACTCACCTGCGTATTTATTGCATTGGATTTAGTGATACAAGTGGGCATGAACTTGGCTTATCAATGCAAGAATCTCAATTAGTATCCAATTTTTTATTGCTTTGCAAGTCTTTTACTATCAGCAGAGTTTTTTTATTGTTTGTAAATAGTATTGGCGAATTCCGCATTCATAAGCTTGCCTTCTACTATTCTTCCAGGTTGACCATGGCATGAATTGTCACCCGACATTGCCTGCTAGGATAGTGCTGCCAGCTTGGTCTAACTGCCAACCACGATCGCAGCAGCAGCAACAGCACAAGTCCCCGGTCAACGGCCGCGAGGCTATGCCTACGATCCCTCCGCCTCCGCCCTATCCTCCGCCTCCCTTGCCCAGCGGGGGCGGAGTCATTGCTCCTCACTTCCAACCCCCTCTCGTGACCTCACATCCCACCAGCACCACCACTAGAACCACTCAGGAAGCACTTCGACATCTCTCCGACGAAGGCAGTCTCCCCAGCGGTGGTAGTAAGTACATTCCAAATGGGTGGTGACGCTGTGAAAAGGGCTCCGAATTTAGACGATTACCACCCGTTGCTTATCTGTTCATTTTTCCAAGACGAGGTCTTTCCGCACTGTTTGGTCAAGTTTGACACTCCTACACCCCAGCGTGTGCCTACCGTAATTTTGCTTATTATCTTTTTTTGAGGCGATGTAAGGTTAGGTAGGCGCAAAGTTCTTCAACTCATGCCTATTTATTTCTTATACTTGCCTGCACCTTGCTTCTACCACTCATACAAATACCTTGAATCTCACTGCGCTGATATTCGTGCATCGGAAATCCGTGGTAGTGTACCAGTAAGTGCAATTAGTTTTTTTAAGATTTTGTTGAAAGTAATGTTTACAAGGCGGAAATTGCGGTCATGTTTATGGACTTTTTCGAATAAAACTACCTGTTGGCTGACAGTTGTAATTTGCAAGGCCTGACTACTTCTTTTTAGTGTTCGAGTAATTAGACAAACCTTAACTTATATTTTATCATAGTGGCTATCTATCACCCACTTTGTGTTTTCGGTAAGTGCTAGAGAACAAATCTTCAGAGAAATTGTTGAATCTGAAGG